TTAAATTATCATAATATCAACTAATTAACACATAATTAAATATTATTGACTTTTTTTATAAATTAAAAAAAAATTAAATACAAGCCATAAAAAAATTAGTTGAGATTATGAATATGCGATGGTACAAGACTAGTTAGCTTTTGGTTAATAATTTTTTTTTAGTATCACTTGCTTGTAATTCCCTAAACACATGGTGAATTATTCTATACTTTATAACAAGATAAAGCAATAATATGTCATATAACGAATTACCATATAATTTTTAAATGTTTTAAAAATTTGTAAATTTAATTTATATATTAATAACTTTTAATTTAATAATTTGATCATTGAAATTAAATATACAAATGAGTTATTGAGTGAAATAATTTTATCGAAAGTTACTCTTGAAGTCATTTGGTTTCTCCTTATATATATATATATATATATATATAAGGAGAGATATATTTATTCCAAAAGGAAGTCTACTTATATTTACTATATACTCAATAGTTCATGTTTTATATTAAATTTTAACGATCTAATCGTTGAATTAAAAATTCTCAATATACAAGTCAAGTCTGCAAAGTTTTTAAAAAATTGAAAAATATTTTAGGCTCCGTTTCATTAATTTAAATTGATGGATATTTATAAAGAGTATCAAATAATTTTTAATTTTTTTAAAAATTGAAAAACTTGATCTATCCATGAATAATTTTTAATTCAATAGTTAGATCATTAAAATTTAATGTAGACATAAATTATTGAGTGAAATAAATCTAAATAGACTTATTCTATTCTTCGAATAAGTAGATCCTTCCTTCTCTCTTATCTATGTCTCTCTTTATATATATGTATATATATATATATATATATATATATATATATATAAGGATTATAATAATATCGATGTAACTTTTACTAAGTATTACACCACTCAATAACTTTATATTAAATGTGAATTTCATAAATTCAATCGTTAGATTTAAAACTTTTTACTCTTAGGTCGTATATACAAAATTTTATAGGTTAAATACCTATTTTGGTCCCTTATAATCTTTTTTTGTTTCAATGTAGTCCCACTTTTATTTTTGGTCTCAATTTGGTCCCAAACTAATTAATTGGTTTCAATTTAGTCCCTAATAAATTAATTAGTTTCAATGTGGGACTTCCGTCCAAATTTCTTTAACGGAGTTAACTGTTGCATAGGTGGATGTCACGTGGATGCATAGGTGGATGCCACGTAGATGCCACGTGGATGCGAATTTTTTGAAAACACCTGGAACTAGAACGGCCCATTCTAAAACCAGAACGGGCCGTTCTGGTTGCACTTTTGGTGTGTTAATTTTGCATCCGGAACGGCCCATTCCAGGTGCAAAATTAACACACTAAAAGTGAAATCAGAACGACCCGTTCTGGTTTTAGAACGGGCCGTTCTGGTTCCAGACTGCTAAATACAAATGATCAATGATTATAGTTCAGGTTGTGAATCATGGAAGAAAAAAGACTCAAGGTACAAAGCATTTCAAACACTGAATTTGGTAATATTGTCAATGGAAATTGATAACTTCAATTGCTAAACAGTTAGGCTGTACAATGTATTATTAAGGACAATGCAATGTATCACTAAAGGATGAACCACTTACTACCAAATTGACACTATATTGTCAATGAAATGACACTATACAGTAAATGATGAAATGACATTATTAATTATATTTAATTATGCTGTTATATCTAATATAATAAATATATTAATATTTTTTTAATATTTTATTTTATTGTTTAATTGCTTTTTATTTTGTGGTAAAATTATTTTCATTTTTAATGAAGAAAAAATTTACTTACTTCAATAGTAAGTCTTGATAGATTTATTCTATTTAATAATTAATGTTCTATATCAAATTTTTAAGAAATTAATTGTTAAATTAAAAAAAAAATTCATGTATAGATCAAATTTATAAAAAAAAATTAAAAAATTAAAAATCATATAATACTTCGTTAAATTAATTCAAATTAACATATAAAATATTTTTATTTTAAATGAATGTAAAAATTTAGAGGACACTAAAAGAAAATAAATTAATAATTTTATTATGTTTATCCTATTAATTTTTATCATTTTATTCCTCTAATTTTGAATAAGTTACAAAAAATTAAAAAGTGACACTTAAATATTTTTTCAGATAGAAAGAGAAAAAGAAAAAGTTATTACTCTATTTATAAGGCAATTGTATTTTATAAAAATAAGTAATTTTAAAATTTTTACCATAAAAAAATATTTTTCAAAATTATTACATTTTTTAATAAAATTAATAAATAATATTTTATTCTCAGTTTTGGAACGGGCCGTTCTGAAACTAGAACGGCCCGTTCTGGTTTCAGAACGGACCGTTCTGGTGTACTCTTGGTGTGTAAATTTTGCATTTGGAACGGCCCGTTTCCGATACAAAATTAACACATCAAAAGCGCATCCAGAACGGCCTGTTCTGGTTCCAGGTATTTTCAAACAAAATTTCATCCACGTGGCATCCACCTATGCATCTAGGTGGCATCCACGTGGCCAATAGTTAACTCCGTTAAAGAAATTTGGAAGGATGATGAGCCTAAATTATACTTGTTTTTATACAAGATTTAATGATCAAATTCTTCCATTCTTTGTATCATTGCATTTTAATTGTTCTCATTTTGGTTTCTTTTGTATATGCAGGTATTCAAGTAGAGAATTGAGGATAAAAAGGCCATTGGAGTGGAAACTCAAAGAATTAAGGAGCAGAGAAGGCTACCGCGCTGAGCGCGCCAGAACACGCGCCGAGCGGGCACAAAACAGAGAGAACTCTCAGCCTTTGGAGCTTCACGCTGAGCGCGCAAGTAAAACGCGCTGAGCGCGCTCGAGGCCGAGAGCAATTGGAGCATCAGGGAAAGCACCCGCGCTGAGCGCGCAGCTTAACGCGCTGAGCGCGTAAAACCTAATCTGTCTCCCCAAATGCGTATAAAAGGCAAATTTTGAGGGTTTTCTCCCTCATTCACTCAGGGGCGCCTCCAGGAGCTGTGGAAGGGATTCCCAGAGCTTGGGAACGGCCATGGTGGATCATTCCTTCGGTTCTTCCTTTCCTCTTCCATCTCTATTTTATTTTTCCCCTCTTTGTTTTGAGAGGTTCTATCCTTTGTATTGGGGTTTTGATGTAACCAACAAACTTTATTGTAATCCTTTTGTGTTAATGATATATATATGTTTTGTTTCATTCTTTGTTGTGTATGATTCCATGCTTAATGCTTGCTTTGGCTTGATCACCCTTTGCATGATTTAAGGTTTCATTGAGTATTGGGAAATATCCTTGAAACTAGTTCTGAACATATGCCTAGTGGGAATTGTACCTAGGGATAGGGCTTGACCCATTAGTAGTCTTAAAACCCTAACCGGTAATGCGGGTGGAGGTATTGAGTACTCAAGGGATTGATATTCAATATTTTGCACCTAGGCTCTTTCTCTAAGGAATTAGGTCTGAGTAAATTTATGGTTGACTGAACAATGGTTGTAACAAGAGACATAGGATTCACTAGTGTTTGTTTGGTGAAATCAAACCCCCACAACTTCAAGTGTCCATTTTACCATTTCTCACCCCATTTCATTTCTAATTCATTTATTTGTGTTTTAACAATTCCAGTAGTTTTGTTCTTAAATTCATATTCATATTTATTGGGATTGTTCTCAAGTCACAAGTAGCCAATGAATGCTTAGTTTACCTTCTAATCCCTGTGGATACGATATTTTTACTACTTGTACGGCCGGTACACTTGCCGTGTTTGAGTCCGTTGAGGGAAGTAACCTAATCTATAATTATAATAAAAAGTACTTCAACGGAAATCTCAACAAAGGAAGTCCCACATTGAAACCAATTAATTTATTAGGGACCAAATTGAAACCAATTAATTAGTTTGGGACCAAATTGAGACCAAAAATAAAAGCGAGACTACATTGAAACAAATAAAGATTATAAGGGACCAAAATAGGTATTTAGCCAATTTTATATTAATCCATGATAATTTGATACTTCATTCTTATAAAACAAAATTGACATAATATATTCATTTCAAAATATACTAAAATATGAACACATTGATTACCTTCAAGTTATTATTTAATTTTAACAAAATGTGATATAAACATATAAAGTGATATTAACTTTTAATTTAACAGTTGGATTTACAAAATTTACATTTAATATAAAATTATTAAGTGATATAATACTTAGTAAAAATTACACCGGTATCATTGTAACCCTTATTATATATATATATATATATACACGTATTTCTTTAATTCATGGTATGGTATTGGTAGTAAACTCTTTTAAGCAAGTGTCACGTTACATGTTATGTTGTCATGTCACGTGTCATGTCATGCGTCATGCCACGTGTCATAATGTCATGTCACATGGCATGATAGTATCATGCATGACACGTGACATGACACGTGTCACATCCGTTAAATATTTAAACAGAGAAAACAGAAGGTCAAATATTGAGATACATTTTAAAGATATGAGACTAAATTGATTCAATTAATTAAAGTGAGAGTAAATTGAGACTAATAAATAATTTAAGGGACGAAAAATTTATTTTTGCCTATTCCTTTAATTCATGGTATGGTATTGGTAGTAAATTCTTTTAAGCAAGTGTCTTTTCTCTTCTTATTATAAAGTTTAACTCCAACTTTGCACACTAAATAGTGGACAACTAAGATGTTTATTTTGGGTCATAAAGTTAGAAGTTTTAAGAATCATCGTGCCTTTCTTTCCTTTAATTCATGATATGGTGTTGGTAGTAAACTCTTTTAAGCAAGTGTCTTTTCTCTTCTTGTTATAAAGTTTAACTCCAAGTTTACACATGAAATAATGGACAACTAAGATGTTTATTTTGCGTCATAAAGTTAATTAGAAGCTTCAAGGATCATCGTGCCTTTCTTCGTAAATTGTAACACCATGAATAAGAAATATGAGCTCCATTGCACTTAAGCATATATCAATGGCATAAACACACTTTGAAATTCTTATTTAATTGCAACAACACAAATACAATAGCATAATTCCTAACATACCTTTAGTTTTCCTGGTACAAATAACTAATGATACACTGAAATTTCCAAATACATCAATAGAACTATAGAAGTAGTTATTGAACATAAGATAACATATGAGAAGTTTCTTATCATAAACACTTATAGATAAACTTATCTAAACAAACCCTACATAAAAATACACAATCCTGGAGAAAAAAAGTTTCGATAAGTGCTGATATATTTTTTTTTCTCTTATCTTGACAGACTCAGAATACGAGATAGGAAGAAGATATATATAATAAATAATAAGAATTGACATGGAGAAAGAGGATGAAAGGAGTGTTTATTGTAGTATTGGAGTGTGCATTACTTTTGTGCCCTGAGAGCCTCTTCCATGGTTTTCAAAGCTGCTTGAATCCTCTGAGCCATGACTTGCAAGCCACTGCTCAAGAAGGAATCAAGGTATTCCAGTTTCCAGCCATGAACTGGTTCAACTTCATAAAGCCACTCAATCTGACAGCCCTCGTCCTCATCCTTTGGCAACACCGTCCAAGTTGAAACGTATGAGTAAAAGCCAACATTTCCCTCGACAATTGAGTAGGTAAGTGTCCAGTGAGCAGGGTCAATGGATAATAGTTTTTGCTTGGTCCAATTAAGGGTGTGTTTGGCAGGGTCATCCACAGGGGTCTTGAAACCAGCGCAGAAACGCACGCACCCTGGTTTGCCAGAAATGCCCTCAACGGGAATGCATGTTGAGATATTGGGGAACCACTTGTCAAGGCCAAAGAAGTCCTCCAAAAGAGGCCATACTTGTTCTGCTTTGCCTCCTTTAACTTCTGCTATGGCCTTGCCCTTCCATTTTGCATTTTCTGCTTGCCTTCCTTGCTGAATAGGATCCATCGTATCAACTAGGAAACTCTAATGTCACATAAACAAAGTAAGATAGAATCTAGTATGTATCTTCCTTACATATGACACATATATATAATAGCTCATCCATGCTTTAAAAAAAATTACAAATTCTACTTGTGTTTTTTTTAAAATAATTTTTGTACCAAAAATCAAATGCCCGGTGGTTGCACAACAAGTAACTTTAAATATATATATATAT